AGTGCCCCCTGGCCGCAATGACGGGTCCCAATCAGCCCCTTGCAGGCTGGAGCTCTGCCAGCCTGCAGGGGAAAAGCCACAGTTTCCCATGTTTTTCTCCTTTAGAGGAGAATCCATTTTTTAAATTTGTTGATCTATTTTTAAAGTTTGTTTGCAACCCTTTCATATATTCTTGCAACCTACTTTTGGGTCGCAACCCACAGGTTGAGAAACACTGGTTTAGAGTGTATCAGCACAATTAGTTGTGCTGTGCAGCCCTTGCATAAACTCCCAAGCATTTTAGAAGGAAACATTGTCTGGTACTCCTCCTTTATTCAATTAAAGTGTCAGGAGTTTCTGTATAATGAATCTTTATTTTCTGGGTTTTAAATCTTACTTTAAAATATACATTTAGACTTGAGGCTGAATTTAGCCATACGGGACTATAATTTGTATTTGTGTGTGAACAGGCTTGCACACACATCTGTCATTTTAATATATTTAAGTGGATAGAAATGCAGGAGAGAGAGAGACATTTACTTTTGGGGAATTGTGATTTTTTTCCCCAGTGCATTCTTCTAAAGTTAACATTTCATTTTAAAAGAAAATTGCACCCATTTTGCATGCATGACAACCTGAAAGCTCACACAGTGAGAAGCACTTCTTACCTTCTGTAAGCTGTGAAAAGTTTTCAGATTATACTGTCATTTTAGAGCTTGCTGCCACACTGCTGAAAAGCAACATGATTTGTGACATAGTTCAAGAACCCAGTATGAAAATCTGTAAACCTGTTTCCATTCTGCTGTTATACTGGTTTAAAAGAAGAGGTTTACTGTGTAAAAATGAAAACCTTTCATTTGAATATTAAATCTGAGCATTCTTCTAACTGTGAACTAGTATAAAAGCAGAATAAAAACTGGTTTATTACCCCCTATATTAGATGTAAGTGGAGATAAAATTTGCTATATATAATACTTTGTATTTCCTACCTGGTGTGTGAATAAAGAAGCCTGTGACATCAGTCTGAAATTAATGCTGATGAAAAATAGAATCATTTTGTTCTTACTTAAGTGAATAGCCCCGTAGCTCCACTTTGTTCTAAGTATTCAGAGTTATAAGGTCATCCCTAGGTTCCCATTTGAGAATCAAATATTTAGGAACATGATTTGGTCTCTCATTGACCCTCCTCCTTTTAGAATTTCCTTCTATTCAAATAATCTTTGAAGTAGAAACAGTGTATTGTTTAAACATTTTTAAAATGAAGCTTTAAAAAAAGACAAAAAACAAAGTGCATAACCAATGCACCTTGGAATGAAACATTCAGCTGATATCACAACTATAGGCAAAATTATTTACCCTGTTCATTCACAGCTTAACCCACAAGCCTTATGTCAGAGCACGCCTTCCATCCTTTCAAAACCAGCAAACCAAATTAGGCCTATTGACTACAGAGGGAGTTGCACCATATGGCTGAACTGGGTTCAGTAATTTTGCAATTGCACCTTATTTCAAAATATGAAAGATAATATTACATATCAGTAGGGAGGATTACTGTAAAGAAATTAGAAGTTCAGCTACCAAGGTGGGAAGCTTTTCAGGAGGCTATTTCTTTAATTAAAATTAATATCCATCCACTTGAAAAAAAAGAACAACCATGGCTCATGGAGCAGCCAGATCACATCCTCTTGGCTTGGATTCTCTTTCCTCCTGGCTCTTCTCCAGAGTTGCATTTTCAGTCTGAGACCAGAGGGAGACTGGGAGACCTTCATATTTTCCATCCTAGGCTGTACAAAGTGATTGGTGGCAGTACTTTGTGTGAGCTGTCATTTGCGTTCTGGGCGCCATAATGAGTTGAAATCACCACATGTTGGATGTCAGCACTCTGTGTGTTGCAGTCAGTCTCAAGCCCACATCAGCACCATAAGATGTACATGACTCTAGGAACCTTGATATGGGGTCCTCATTTAGGGTTAGTTTGATGCTTATTTTAAAGTAATGTTTTCTAGAGGCCCCCAGAAATGTTAAAAAGAGCAGAGGAGTGGACAAGTGTGCTGCAGCATTTTACTACAATCAGGAACAAAGCTTCTTATATGGTAAATAAAAAACAAATTGTTCTCCCTCAGAAATGTATGTATACAGCTCTTTCCCATACACAGCTCCCTCTCACACAACAATGTCAGAATGTGCCTGTCATGTCTAGTCCTGAATGACTCCATCTTCAGTAGGGGCAAATCATATACCCTCCTCTGCAGATACAGGGGGGGATGCTGCAACAACCAGTACAATTCTGCTGAATGGAAAAGTGGCATAGATCTCAATTCACAGGGGCCTGCATACAAAGCAAGGTGTGGTTAATGGATTTGGGCTGATAAGCCCACTTCCACACAGTTCCATTGGATGTTTCCTCTCCCTCCCCTTGTAAGAAATAATAGGGTCACTGAGGCCCTCCAGCTCAGGAAGAATAGTAACGACACAGGAAGAATTCTTCCCTTTCTACTGCAGTGATTTCTATCGTACTGGCCCAGCTACATGAAACTGGGCTCTGCTTGTGCATATATCCTTCCTATGCTCTTTTTTTTCCTGCACAGAATATATGTAAATGACTATATTTTGTAGTTCTTTTTCCCTCTTGCAAGTGAGGACAGCGGTAAGCCATGAACAGTACTTGAATTAGCTGAGACAGCTGATTTGAGAGCTCACACAAAGCCTTGTCATCAATCATGTAGAGTAGACTCCTTCTCCTGGCTATCTTTGTCTGTCACTGATGGGAAGGGTAGGTAAGGCATAGTGACATACCTTTGCCCAGTTTGGGCACTGCTCCCAAAGGCAGTTGGTTGTCCTAGCTTCTGCTTTGGACAGTCTCCAGTTCAGTTCCTATTCTAAAGCAGTACTTTGGTCTTTTACTCTATTTTGGGGTGTTATTTTTCTATTATTAAAAATGGTGAGAAAAAGATGTATTTTAAATATAGTTTAATTTAAAATTGTAAAGCACTTTAAGATCTGTGGATGAAAAGCACTGTGTAAGTGCTAGGTATTATTAAAATGACATGAGGCAATATCCAAAACTTGCCTTCTGGGATCCAAAGCCCATATCAGTGAAAGAAACATAACAATAAGGAAAATGGGGAGTTTGGGCCCTTTATTTAAAATCAGATAAACTTGCAGTATCTGGACAGAATGTACTGTTTGTGCCTGAACTAGTAGCCTTCATTCCTGACTGTTGTGTGATAGCTTTAGTTTGTTTGACATCTTCTCTTTTTCATTGTTGTTTCTTACTTTCTTTTCCCTTCCTCTCCCACCCTTCCCCCAACTCTTTTTCTTTTTGTGCTTTAGAAGTCAAGTTCCTCCACCACGACTGGAGAGAAGATCACAAAAATCTATGAGCTGGGAAATGAGCCTGAGCGCAAAATGTGGGTAGATCGATACCTCACCTTCATGGAAGAGAGAGGCACACCTGTGGCCAGTCTGCCAGCTGTGGGCAAAAAGCCACTAGATCTGTTCAGACTGTATGTCTGTGTCAAGGAGATTGGAGGCTTAGCGCAGGTAAGAAGAAAGAGTTGCAACCAGAAAGTCCAGAAGCTTAGGTGTGCATTCCTTCTAGAGTATTTTCTTTTTGTTGCAGCATTATAAGTTCATTTTGGCACCTAAAAGGAAGCTGACAGAGAAGTTCCATTATAAATATTACTGTAATTTTTGTGTGAAGTTCACTGTAGGCTGCATATTTGCCTTAAAAATGCTCTGTGGGTCAATGGTGACCAGTGCCAGAAATGGCCTAAGCTGTTCAGGGAAATCTAATAGTACTTCTAAGAGAGGATGAGGTGAAAAGACCATTGGGTGAAAGATAAGACTCAATAAGAGGAAAGAAGATCAAAACAAGAGAGAGAATCACAGAATCAACGAGTAGGAAGGGACCTAGACAGATCATCGAGTCCAACCCCC